TTTTAGGACCTGCTTTCTTTGTAGATGGCCAGTGGTAACTATGTTAAAATAAGAGATAATTAACTGAGACACTTACTCCCATCCCAGAAGCACAACTGGAGGTGCCTACAGATGTTCCCACAAAGAACAGCTTCTTGCTAAGCTTTCACCATCCACAGCCTGCATTAGTGATGTGTACTTAGCCACCTCGAGGACTCCTGGGGCTGCACACTCTGTGTGTCTAGAATTATGCCCATTAAGATCAGGTAGAGAACTTTTCTGGAATCTTCCCTATCTTTGTCAAATGGAAGGGCCTGTGAACCAAAGAGGGTCTGAGGACAGGTGAGTGTGACGAAAGAGAGCTCTGTGAAACTGAAACCTCGTTCTCATGGTGAAGGAACAACGGAGAAGGCCAGCTCTGTGAGATCTAGGATAGGTTAAGCAATGATGCTGAATGAGTTGAAGAGTATGGCACAAGTGTCTTGGCTTTGGTGAAGACTCCAAAGCCAAGTAGATGGCATGAAAATGGTAAGAACTCAAGCAGAAGTTATCATGTGAAGAGATATGAAGCCCTGAGGAAGCCAAGGCTCAAACAAGCATTTTATAAGATCTTGCTTGCCTTAGCCACCAACTTAGTTGGGCACTGTAGCACACTCCTTTAATCCCAGAACTTGAAAGGCTGGTGGATCTCTGTGAATGTAAAGCCAGAGTTCCAGGCCAGCCAGGGTTACAAAGTGAGACCCTATTTAGAAAAAGGAAAAAAGGACCAACTCAACTCTGCAGTAAGTGCGTTAAGCCCACCTGCTCACCTGTCATGTTTCTAAAGCCTTAACACTGACCCATGGGGGCCATGCTGCCAGGAACACTGACCTTTAAAAACATGCTATGTGGAACCCTTATCACATAAATGACAGCACCCAGCTGGATTAAATTTCACAGTAATTAAATAGAGTTGTTTAGAAAGTTCACATTCATGCCTAACCGGTTTCTTCAATTATTGATTCAAATAATTAATTATCACAAATATTTGAGTTTGAGGGTGAAGAAGCTGACTTTAAGAACTGTGTTAATTAGCTTTATGCATTACTACAACGAGGCAGCTGACTTTATATAAGTGAAATTTTTCTTTAATCAGCACAGTTTTGGAGCTTCAAAATCTAGAACTGGGAAGCCCTAAGTTAGCCGACTGTCGAGAGTTGTGGATAGCAGCACATTATACTGTGCAGGGAAGGAGCTTCCTCCACCAAACAAGAAATCGGAGTGAGACAGGGCTTCCATAATCCCCTCTGGAGAATGACCCCGATGAGCTAAGCATCTCCCACGAGGCTCCATCCCACACATCTGCTACCTTCCCAAAGTGCCACCCTGTAGACCTTCCATCACAATGGGCCGCTGGTGGGCACTCAATCACATCAAACCATAGCAAGAATTGATCTTTTTACATCTAGCTTGTATTGGTGTTGAAAACCACAATGGCATCCCTCACATCTAGTTTGTACTTGTTGGAACAACTGACATAATCATGCAAACTCTTCCATCTAGTCTCTTCTTAGCAAGCTATTGCATGGAAGTTGATTAATTTTGACCAAATTTGTTTCTAAACATTAAGGGACACAGTTTGAATTTTGAGCTATAGATCCACCTGCCATCTTGAAATATTTTTCACTAGGCTTTATTGGTTCTGGTTTTCATTTTAAATAAAAAAAAAAACCCAGAAAAACAAATAACAGTATGATAAGAGATCCAATCATCCCTTTTAAAGTAAGTTAAGGTTATTTATTAGACAATACATTTTTATGGCAGTTCTGATTCTTTTTTAATGGTCAGGACAGATAACTCTTGAGGTAGGTGTTAAATATATGAATGTTAAGAAGAGCAAATGACATTCACCCAAACCACTAGAATTCCAGAAAATCTAAATAAATGTGGTTTTTATTACATGTGTGTGTTTCTCTTGTTTCTTCAAAGGAGAGATGGTAGAATTATTTATATTTCTTGTCAAGTGATTTAAGTTAGTGTCTATGAATCAAACATCAACATCACATTTACTTATTGTCGATAGAATTTTCTTCATCTTTCTCCTCTACAATAAGGCTTCTGATTATTTTAAAATGTTTTTATTATTATATATTAATCATACATAATGACACTCACATGCATACATAATATATTTTGTTCACATTCACCCTGTTGCCTTCTCTTGTCCCCTTCTTTTTGCAGACACTCTCCTTCATCCTCTTCCTCTTCCCACCTATCCTCCATCGACCTTTATGTCTTTTTAGTGACCCACTGAGTTTCATCAGGGTTTTTCACAAGAATGTAGGTGGGAGTTCGTTGACAGGATCATGTACATACACCTTATCAGTAGCTACACCACTAAAGAAAATGCCTCTCCCTCTCCACCTACCAGTAGCTTCTTCTAAATTCACAGAAAGGAGTAGGACTCAATGAGCCTCTTCTTTTATGACAGGGTGTCCACAGGCCCAAGTTTGTGGAGATTTATGAAGATAATCACAGCTGCTATGAGGTCAAGAGTGCTACAACCATGTCTTTCCCTGGGTGTTACCTTTCCACATCGATCCCCATACCCATTCCTCTAGTTCAGTGGTTCTTAACCTTCCTAATGCTGTGACCCTTTAATACAGTTCCTCATGTGGTGGTGACCCCCACAACCATAAAATTATTTTCGTTGCTAGTTCTTATCTGTAATTTTGCTAACATTATGAATCTTAATGTAAATATCTGATATGCAGGATATCTGATATCAGACACCTGTTGGGGTCATGATTCACAAATCGAGAATCGCTGCTCTAGTTCTTGTGTGCTTCCTGACACTTCTGTGATATTTCCAGAGCCTTGGAATGTTATAGATATCCTATTTATGTCTGACAACTCAGCAGTCATTTACTCTCTGTCCCTTGACCAGTTGTGAGTCTCAGCAGTCACCGCTGAGGAAGAAGCTTCTCTTACCACAGCTTGCAACAGCACTATCATTATTTAGAATTTGACCATCACATCATGTTCACCTATCAGAATACTAATAGCAGCTTCTCTACTAGAGTCTGTGCCCTCCCAAGGCATGGACTTTCAACCAGTTTACAGCACCAGATGAGAATCCTCTTCCTGTGGGGCAGGCATCAAATCCAATTAAAAGAAAATGGTTGGTTACTCCAATAACAGCCTCGCCATTATTGCATCACTGGGCTCATTTTACCTGGCCAGTCAGTATTGTGTCCCCAGCTAAGTAAGACTAGTGAGATAACAATTCTCCTGCAGCAGCCTACATAATTCCTTTTGTCACTAAGGAGGGCTAGCCAGCAGGTTGGAAGCTCTCATTTCAGTTTTAGCTTGGTTTCTCTGTGTTCTGAAACTAAGCCATGTGATGTCTTGAGCAATAAAGTGTTACCAACAGCTGTAGCAATCGTCTGTGTTGTTTTGTGGGACCTAAGGGACCTGCTTAGCCAACAAACAGGGAGGTATCCCATCCCTGCTACTGAGATTTTTCTTTAATAACCTATGGTTTCTGGAACCATTATTTACCCATCCACATGGGATAACTGCATTCAAACTCTTTTTTAAAAAAGAGTTCTGGGTTTAGGTTTTTAGTTTAGTTTTTAAGTTTTAGTTTATGAAGCATCAGATTTTTTTATGACTTTTTCATATACTGTTAATTTTGGATGGCTTTATCCCTTCTCATTCTAAGTATATAATATATTAAGACACCATAATTGTGATTTCTATCAGTGAATCTGGCCATTAGGTCCTTGAGATAAAATATCCATAAATAGTAAAGCAGTCATCCTTTCCTCTGTTCTATTTGAGACACTTAAATCCTGTTACTTCAGACTCAGTTAAATTCAATTAGTTTTGGCAGTGGAGGGCAATGAATTAAAACTCACATATTATTCCAATCACTAACTGAGATGGCTTTCCATCTTTTTTTTTCACAGAAGTAAATATCAATGAATTAGAAAAATAAGTACTCTTAGGAAAAACTGAGCCTGGGTTCACATGGAATATCAATATCTATGTTCCAGACCTAAAAATCTTTCATTAAGGGTTTTATCCCTTAATAAAGTTAAGTTGGGTTTAACTGGAGATAAACCTGGTGGTTGTAAGTGTACCCTCATTATTTGAATGTTGAGACATTGCTTTCTGAATGTATATAGCAAGAAGTCAAACAATCTAGTCAATCAATGAGCTAATGAAATAAAGAGATAATTCTCAAAAGATGAAATACAAATGGGTAATAAATGTGAAAAAATGTGGAACCTCACTAACCATCAAAGAAATGAAAATCCACACTCCATTGGAATTCCATCTCACACCAGTCGGAATGGCTGTCATAGAGAAGAAATGACAACATATGTTGGTAAGGCAGAAGAGAGCTCTTTTCCTGATAGTGGGAATATAAACTAGTCACCATGGAAACCAGTCACTATGAAAATCACCGTGAAGGTTGCTTACAGAAGAACACTACCATATACCGCTATTAGATGCTTACCCAAAAGACTCCAGTCAACATTTCATAGAGATAAATACCAATATTTATTGCAAAACTATTCACACTGGCTGAGTTATGGAACCAGCCCATCAGCAGAAGAAGGAATACAGAAACTGTGTTTTGTACATATGATGGATTTTTCTAGCCATAAACAGGAATGAAGTTTTGTCATATGCAAGAAAATGAATACAACTTGAGATTTAACCATATTAGGTGAATTATGCCAGTCCCAGAAAGACAAATGTCACATGGTCCCATTTGTGGATCCCAGATTTCATGTACAGAGGGCATGAAAGTAGAGGTGAGAGTGTCCAGGGAGACAAAGGGAGCTAACAGGAAGACAGAAGGGCAAGCAAGCGGAGGTACGGGGGTATGGGGGCAATACACTTAAAGTGCATTATATATTACCATGAAAATGGCCTGATGTAACAGTATAATTAAAAAAACAAAGGCAATAGAAACAAATATTAAATAAATACATTCACATGGTTTTATGCTCTGTAGGTGCATGTAGGTGCTTGAGTCTGGAGTTAAAATGACTTGTGGCTTCTTTTGGAAGAAAGACTAAACATCCCCCAATAATTCAAATGCAGGGCATTATTATTGTCTATCTGCTCTGCTGTAGTGAACCTAACCTAGATGTTCTCCTAAAAGTTCACTCTAATAACAAAAGGCCTTCGAAGCTGTGTGAGAGTGGCCAATGAGTAGGCAGCTGAGTGAATGGGGCCATGTTGTATGCAAATGTGTGACACAAAGGGCCGGGTTGAAACAGAGTTCTGGAAAATGTATTTCAGAGACTCTTAACGCCACATGAGTGTTTCCATTTAATGTCTGCCTTATTTCAATCATTTTGAGTGAGGAGCCTGGATCTGCAAACCATGAGCAACTCCAAGTCCTGCTCATTCAGAGCTGGAAGATGTAGACTTCGGGGCAGTTTTTGAAGGGAGGCTGTTGCCTAACATAGGGAATGTCCCTGTGCCTGGTCCCTGCAGCAGCTGTCCTCAGGCGAGCCCGGCCAAATACATTTGGCAGGTGTTGTTTCCAGGCTTCTGGAACCACCTAAAGCAAAGCCTGGGTACCAAATCACAGAAGAATGGACTGAAATTGGAAACATGCATTTTTGTCATCACTGTCCAATACAATTCAAAGCAGTAAAAAATGCACGTTTATTGCAAGTAAGTTGAAATTAGAAAAGTCATGTTCACTCCAGAACTGAAGCAATTTTCATGGCTTGAATCAAACACTACAGAGCATCAATCCAGCTGGAAATTGACTAATCGCTCACTAGGAGGATCAGGAAAGTAGGACAGATGAATCAGTAGTTTTGTTGATGTGATAGAAATCCTAAAAATCCCAATAGTCACTGTCATCATCATCATCATCAGCAGCAGCTCTATAAAACAAAAACTAATGTTCTTAGGAAAACAATTCAAAACGTAGGAATAGACAAGATTTTTTTTTCTGAAAAGGAAGAATAAAACCAACAGTGGACAAATGAGATCGTACAAAATTAAGAAGCTCTGCGCATCAAAGGAAGCCATCAGCAGATGAACGAAGAGTCTACAGAATGGGTGAAATCCAGCAGTGACACTTCAGAGGTGTATTAATATCTAGAATGTATAAATAACTCCAAACATGAAAACCCCGAAGACCCCACAGTCAACAAATACACTAATGAACTTACCTGGAAGGTCTCTCAATCACAAATGGCGAATAAATCTGTTTAGAAGTGTTCTATATCCTTAGCCACAGGGGAAATGCAAATTGAAACTACTTTGAGATTCCATCTTGCCACAATCCAAATTAAAACAAATGCTGGCAAGGATGTGGAAAGGGGGGCGTTGTTCCCGGCTGGTCAAAGTGTAGACTGGTGCAGCTGCTGTGGAAATCAGTGTAGAGGCTTCTCAGAAACCAAACGGAATTACCATAGTGCCCCGCTAGGGCAGGTCAACTCTAGATCCTGTCTCGGAAATACTTGCACATCCATGCTCCTTTAAAGGAACTGGAAATGAAACCAGCCTCAAGGCCCTTCTGATGAATGGATAATAAAAATGCAGGACATACAAACAATGCAATTTTATTCAAAAACAACAAAGAAAACTGAAATCATGCAATTCTCAGGAAAATGGATGGGAGTGAAAAGTGTTATATTAAGTGAAGTAAGGTAGGCCCAGAAAGGTAAATGCTGCATGTTCTTTCTCATATGTGGATCCTAGCTTTTAATTGTTACATATGTGTGTTGGTGGGGAGTAATTGTGGATAGAGGTCAGGAGTCTAGAAAGGGACCAGGAAAGGGTTACAAAGGTTTGAAAGGAGAGGGGGTGGGAGGGTGAAAGAACATATGTGGCATGCCCTGAAAGGGAAAGGAGACTACTATGTGTAAGAGTATAGTGTGGAGTGGGAAAGCTAAGTTCGTACTCACATGGGGATCCTAACCATATGTATATATCTCCACATATCCATGTGATTATATGTGTGTTTATATACATCTGTATATAACCAATATACATGTGGGTACAATATAACATGTAGAAAGGAGAGCAATAAAGGGTAAATATTAGGTGATGAGGAAGGATTGAACACAAGTAATAAATACCCCAATAATGAAAGAGGATATAAAGCTAATTGTTTTTCTAGTTTTCTGTCATGATTTTTCCATTTTTATTTCTTTAATGGTGGATTAGTGCACAAAAATGTATTTGATAATGAAAGTGTAAAATCCAGTGTGAAGTTCCATGGCTTCGGAATGGCTATTTTAACTATATAAAAGGTCATTGAGGTGTATAGACTTTGGGTCTGGTTAATGTTGGTGTGTGATTTTTTTTTTGTTTGTAAGTTCTTTATAATAAAGTTTTAATTAAAAAATTGTTTAAAGTTTGCTATTATCAATTATTTGTGGGGCTAGGGAGACCCAAGACCTTTGGGGTTTTTTTGGCCATGTTTTGTGAAACACATGCATGACTTCAGTCTAACTGAGTGGTTTTTTTTAGACCATGCTTTTGCCACCCCAGAGCAATAGACGGTTTAGGCACAGCATAAACATAGTATCGTTCCCAGCTTGAAACCTGACTGACTTACAGGCACATCTTAAGGTGGTGGAAGGTGACAAGAAGGAGTTACACATTTGCTTGGCAAACAGAGAAGGGAGTGTGGAAGTAAGACTTTATTTCGGTGGTCACTTGTCCTGTTAACTAATGATAGCAGGCACTCTATCCACCACACGTGCTTACCGGTAGTGAGGCACATTTCAGTTAAAATCTTCGCCACGTGCCTGTAAGACAGAGACTGGCTCTCATTTTACAGATGAGTTCAAGCCACCTGTGTGGGGCCAACCATCACCTGAAACAAACCTGTCTCCTAAACCCCTCAACTGTCCAAAATAAAGGTCGAAGTCTTCTTTCGAAGTTCAGTTTCCTGTTGAGACGCAACATAATGCGTTTCGTTTATTTGTAATACAGGCCTGGCACCAGAGCAAGTCCTCAGCCAGGGTCTCTCCCTGTCCTCCGAATCATAATGACTTGGATGCCCTCTAGTTCTGCCTCTGTGCACTGTGACTGTTGCTTTTCAATTCCTGCTGCTGATACTAATTCTAATAATGATAACCGTGGCTGCACAGAGCTGGCTTCTGGGACTATTTCCCTCTCTGTCTAAGGGGAGAGAGGAACCACTGAACAGGAGTCTCATAAGGAGTTAAGTAGGGGCAAGTTTGACAGCTGATTTCAGTGACAGTCACTTGTTAGTTCCGGATGCCCTTTGTCCACATGGAGATTACAGAAGCCACGTGAGAGGCCACTTGCAAGAGCCTTTCTGTCACTCCGTGTAAACACACACCAGATGTGTCTCTCACATACGCTGTCCCAGGGCCACAGTTCCTCTGGACAGGAAGTAGGCCGGCTGTGTTCACTTTACACCAGAGCCCAATGTCTGCACACCGCTGGACTGGAGCCACTGTGACCCTTAGCACCACGTGGACCCGAGACTAGATTTAATGGAAACTCACCACTCAGAGTGAAACTGAGCATAAATGTGTGGTACTTTAATAACATACTAATTGTTGTGCCTATGCAAATAAAAAGGAACTACTCGAAACAAATCCCAGAAGCACTCACATTTGTCTTAGTTCCTTCCTTAATGCGAGTGGTTGTGTCTCAGTTACCTATGACCACACCACAAACCCCAGGGACCCCTTAGGTTGTTGCTTTCGGAGTCTGTAGTGACTGGTGGCTCCTGTCCTGGTTTCACTTGGGTCACTATCTAACTGAACCCAGCAGGCTGGAGGCCAGCCTCAGCCAGCACGGTTATGTCTCTCTCACACATGGTATTTTTACTACAGACTTCCCGGCAGCGTGGCAGTCTTGGGGCCACCTTCTAACTGAGCTGCAAGGCTCTGGTGCCTGACCTGAAGGTGGTACAGTGTCACTTTCACAGTATTCTGTTGGATAGAGCAGGTCACAAGCCCAGTGCTAATCCAAGAGGAAAACAGACTCCACCCCTCAAGGGGAGGGAGGGACTGCATGTGAGCAGCAGGTGAGTCCATGCATGGGACACTTCTTCCTGATATGAATTGCGAAACAGGCAGTCTGAGCTGAAGGGTGCACTACTTGTGAGGTCAGTGTTAGACTTTCCGTTGAAGGTGAGATCTGCCTTTCAAAAACCATTTGGTGCAATTAGAAGGCCAATTCTCCAGCTCTTCCTGCATTAAGTGTTTTGACTGTTCTGCTTGTGTCAGATACAAATCTTTGGTGAGCTCAGGAAGCTTGTAAGAAATTACTGTGTATGTGTTGGGAAATGGTCAATATAGATTCATTCGTCATTTATGGCCATGTGCATGGATTCACGTGTAGGTATCTATGTACACATCTCACTGAAGAACATTAAGCCTTTCTAAAGAAAGGTTAATAATATGCTATTACCTTTGGAGTTAACTTTTTCCCCCTACTGGTGCTAATACCAATCAGACAGACATATTCTGTATTTTTAAAAACTCAGAAACTTAATTTTTTCCTTATGGAAGAGCTTCTTTTGTGCTTTCCACATACACCCTCTATTAAGAAGTTGTAAACCCAGTGGAATGCAAAAATAAAAGTGTTTGATAGCAAAACACACATGTAGACATCTGCAGACATCTATCTTCTGGAAGTTTGGCTTCACACAATCCTGACCATTGAGAGGAAGTCAGAGATGAAGCTAGAAGGCATGCAACTTGAGTACATGTGGGATTTAGTTCTTGACAAGCACAAGCTGAACAGCAGTGATGCATCCCTCATTCACTTATCCGGAAAACGCTGATCACACTTTCACTGAGTTAAGTCTACTCAAGGTGGCTGTAAAAAGAAACCCTCTAGAACAGAAGGTATTTCTCCAGTTGATTAGATTCTAAAAAGATGAAACCGAGTAAAGAAATGATGTGGGGGGTGAGGGGATAACAGCGGAGTGGAGACTGATGGGGACGAAGCAGAAAAGGAACTATGGGGCTGAGAAGTGAAGTGAGACCAAGACCAAGATAAAAGAGTGTCTACACAGTGTTGTGAGAAGTAAGACAGTTGGTTCAAATTCTAATCTGAAAACTCAGGGAAGCTGAAGTCAGCCTGTTGGAGATGTGGACGTATCTGAGCTGTGGGAAGGAGATGCAAAAGTTCGAGCTTGAGAAGGAGTAGGAAAGAAAAGGGAGCCAGGAAACAGAAAACTCTTCTGCAGATACTTGGCTGACACCCGAGGCTGAGGAACAGGAGGGTTTAAAGGAAGCAGTCGTTGATGGGAGAGAACCCAGTGATTGGTCATATGACTGCACACTTGGGGTTATAGGACTTCTAGTACTGTGGAAAAACTGCTAGTAGGAAAAGAAAGGGGGGTTTTCTGGAACAATAGTAGTTGGGAAGGATAGATTTCTTCCAGATTTAAAGTTTATGTTATTACATTTTAAAGCTTGTGCTGGAAATACATAGTTCCCCATTTTATTTATATTATACTATAATAGTGTTACATACATCTCAAAACATACATACGATACAGCCATCGCAGCATAGACATTGTACAAATAGAAGGTGCACTATTTTCTCCTTTCAGATGCTTTTGCACACATGTCCATCTCACTGTGGGGTCCTTACACTTAAGCGCCATCACTGATGTTACCAAAAGTCCCTGGAAGGAAAGAGCCTCTTCTTTCAGGCTTGACTAACAATTTCCTTACTGTATTAACTTCCACCTAGGAAATGTCTTGACTGCATTATCTTCATAAAGAATCATGACTCTAAATGATCTAGGCAAAAGATGTAATTCATCACAGTTTTTCAATTGTTCTTACAAGTTACTTTTGTTACATGTAATATCACAGGCAAACAAAACAAATAAACAAATAACCACCAACCAACTAAGCAACCAAACACCAACAAAGCCACTCTCAGACAGGAGAACAGCCATATTTCAATTTTATTTTAGGTTGGATCATGTTTTAAATCATGCATTCTTCTTGTGACTTCCTCTAAATCCATGATTGAAGGACTAAAGTGTACCTCTCATCATCACACACAATTAGACCCTTGTGTATGTGTGTATGTGTGTGTGTGTGTTGCATGTGTGTGTGTTGCATCAGTGTGTGGTCTGTATGTATATATGTTCCCATGTTTGGGCACACATAAATGTGTGCACATGCACGTATAGGCAAGACATTGACATATAGTGTCTTCTTCACCCACTATTTACCTTTTATATTGAGTCAAGTTCTCTCACTTGAGACCAGAACTCACTCGCCCTAACAGTTTAGCAGCTTACTCCAATGACCCCTGTGATCTCTACTTCCTGAGGCCTAGCACTGCAGACAGGGCCACGCTTACCTGGCACTTGTGTGGGTAATGGGGTCCCAAAGTCCAGTTCTCACCCTCATCCAGCAAGTGCTTATCCAGTGAGTCATCTCTCCAAGCCCCATTAGAATCTTTTAGCATATGATAAAAGATTCAAAACTAAGCTGAACATGATCAGACATGTGTAATCCCAGAGTTCAGGAGGCTGAGGGAGGAGTGTCCATGTCCATGTGAGGCTGGCTTGGTTTACATAGTGAGACACTGTCTTAAAAAATAAAACTTTCCTACAAAATAAAAAGAAGAAAGTGAAAATTGTTTTCTAATTTTTCTTTCTGGTTCTATGTAATGCGTGGCACTTGGCTACTAAGCATTTTCTCTGGATCACCTAGTAAAGAGTTTAAGGGGTAGTTAGATTATGAAATTTTTCTAAAATACAGTGTTCTCTGTCTGGAGGATGTTTTGCTGATTCTGAGGTTGTCATCCATGACACAGAGACATATTTCTGTGAATGGCTCACATAAGCAAACAGTGATGCAGGGCAAACCCCCATGAAGGTCTATAAGGCAGCTAGGGAAATCCTTCCCACAGTCCCAGTGGGATCCCAGCTGTAAGTTACTAGCTCTAGTGATGTAAAACTGTCACTCAGGCAGGAGCAGGGTGCTTGCTCATCGTGTCCTTTTCCTTTCTCAGAGAAGCAGCAGGTTTTTAGATGAGTCTTTCCAGGGCCGGGGGCGGCATCCTGCTCCACATTTCCACTCGAGGGCCAGCCTTCTCCTGACGGCTGGGGCTGTAGGTTCCTTGAGTTGCCCTTTTGCTGGAGGAGATAAGGGAAGCCACAACCACAAGCAAGAGGATGAATAACAGGGCCAAGGTCCCTGAGCCAAGGGCGGTGAAAATGCCCACGAACCAGTCATCAGCCAGCTGCAAGGATCGAAGAGATGATAATGTGAGTTCTAGAGCAAAGGTACTCACTAGGACAGTGGAGCCACCCTGGGACGAAGACCAACGAGATGAAGCTGGTACCTCTCTAGTGTAACAAGACCAGGGCATTCCAGACTTTCCTTATTCCTAAATCATGAGCAAATGGTGTCCTATCTAGTCTCCAGTGTCTGCTCTGAGAAAATGTGTATGAAATATCTACTGTATTTACTCAGCCTTGTCATCTCAGTGACGAAGATCCTTCATTTAAAGGGAAAAAGATGAACCCATATACATGCAAAATCATCCTAAATTTATAGGTCTCTGTCATTCATGATTTGCTCCTTTCCTTGTTCAAACTTATGATTGTGAACCAAAAATATAATTGCTTTAAAGCCTTTGGGGGGGGGGGAAGAAAGCAGATTAAAATAGCTGGGTCTTGTGGAACAGATCCCCAAAGAGGGAAGACTGATGGGCTACTTCTACAGGCAGTTTTTGCAGTCTTTGTTTTGATTTGGATGTCATGGAACAAGTGATGTTTGTAAAAGCGGCTGTGTTCCACGCTGAACCCAGACATTACGCAACAGAAAGCATCAGGTAGAGCCCTCTCCGGAAGCAGCGGAGCCCTGGGTTCTCCAGGGCCTTACTAGTGCACAGACGTTGGTATTACGTCCACTGCAGTGTTTGTCTCTCCAGCAAAGCTGGAACCTATTGGTTTAGCAATAGGTAACAGGAATCTGTAACTGAGCTGCATAGAAACACTAAGAAGAGAGGCAGCACTATGCAGGTTGTTTAAAGGATGGGCTCAGAGTACTACTTCTGTCAGCACAAAAGCAGGAGGAAGTTGTTTTGCCTTCTCAGTTCTCACTTGACTCTCTATATGGTCCTTGTCTCATTACCAAGCCAAACATATTGTCACATATGAAAACAGCGTTTCAACAATTCTGGGCCATTTAATATCCTCACTGTTTCTAATCACTTTTATTGTTGCTATTGTTTCTTCCTAGTTTGGTTCAAATCATTGTACAATTAATACCAGACAGTAAAGTCCCCATAATGTTATCTTTGATCTACTTACTATAAACCTTGCTTAAATGTGGTTTTCTAGTTTGTCACTCTCTCGTCAGTAATATCAATTATGTGGACATCTATGGAGCTAGAATATAAAAATACAAAGATATCAATGAGTCTAGATCTCAGTTTCTGGGGATAGGAGAAAAGAACCACATTCACTCATGTATACATATAATCACAGTATGTTACAAATGTGCTTTATGAGTGCCATGAATACTGAGCAGAGCTTAAGTGGAGAAATTTGAAATGAAGCATATGATTATCTCTGAAGGATGAGGGAGTACTTGGCTATTCTAAGCAAGGAATTTCACTTAAATGAAACCATGTGAACTAAAATTTAAAAGGGGAACTTAAAAACTCCTTAGAATTGAAGGGACTCCAGTGAGAGCAGAGGTTGTACATAAAGGCATGTCAGAACTGGGGAAGGAGGACAAGGACAGGTGAGAGATGAGACTACAAAGGAGAGAAATCCTCTCATGAAGTCCACACGCCACCCAAAATTCAGTGTTTGTCCTGTGGTCACAGTGGAGGCACCAATGAATGATCATCAAACAAGAGCTTGGCCTGTCTGGATCTGTGTTCTGTTAGTCTGACTCCCACAATGGAGGAGGGGAGCTTGGAGAGAGAGAGAAAAGGTAGGGAAGACACAGCACAGAAGAAAAGATTCCATTAGTAATGACAGCACATGACTCTGATCCAAGCTCAGTGAAAAAATAAGAGGTAAGGTAAAAGGATGGTAGAGAGGGAGAGAGGGGGATGGGTAAAATCGGAAGCACTCTCCAGCTTGCAGCTCTTGGCAGCATTCCCTGCGATGTCAGACAAAGCACTCTTGTTGGAAGCTGTTGGTGTTAGCATCTCCCCTCCGCTGTGTCTTTCATGGGAGTAAATAGCTTTTGCTCTGGATGAATGCCACAGGACTGCGCAGACCCATACAGGTAGGAGGCAAATCAGTCGCTTTTCTTCAGTTTTCTGAATGTTCCTCTGGACCCGTTTTGTGTCATGATGGAGACTGATTGTACTGGAGAAGTGGACCGCCTACACCCTAGCTCATTGTAGCGGAGGGGACAACAGGAAACAATGCCGAGACCTCTTAGTGCCCCGCAGTCCTCTGTGGACAGAGAACTGATCTGTTTCCCTTGTCTTGTGGCCTGTGAAGAATCAGGACCTTGTCCATAGTTCTGTCACCAGCCTCAGAAAGGAGGTGAGGATGTCGAAGGTTGAACCCTGGCTCCACCTGTCATTCTTGGCTGAACACTGATATGGTTAAGAGGCCAGCCTGTAGCGGAAGTGGCCGGGGTTTGATTCCTGGCTCTGGCTCTTATTTATGTGACTATCAGCCATTAATTTCACAGTTGGAGAGTCACTTATTCACCGATGAAGTTAGGTATTGCTATCTACTTAACAAGATGGGATCAAATGAAATACAAAGAGTCTAAACTATACAAAGCATGGTTATGTGTTCTTAATGCGTAATATTATCAGGAGGCATTAACAAACTACTGACCGTCATTTCCAGTCATATTGATTTATAAAAAATAAACTCAAGCACCTCACCCCTTGACCAAGAAGATCATCTGGAAATCTGAGTCGCCATTCTGGGTGTCCTGTAAATTTTTTGATGAAAGAATCCCCCTGACTCTATTGAATAGTGACATAAAGTGTGGGGCTGAAGCGAATGGCATTTTTAAAATGCTTCAAAGGCTTTTTGCTTTTGAGCTTCCATGATTGAAAGGCTACTCTTTGCTCTGTTACTCTTCAGCCACTCTTTACACATATAGAACCCAAATGGATCTCATGATAACTCAAATTGCAACTCAAAACACATGAACTCTTGATAGAGCTGTGAAAGGATTGGAACAGAATCATAGGGACAAGTCATGGTCTAACATGTGCTTGTCAATATTTCCTTGAAATGGTATATACAAGTTAATAATAACTATTAAAGAAGGAGGAGGAGGAGGAGGAAAAGGAGGAGGAGAAGAAGAAATAAGATGATTTTCTAAAAGATTTGTATCAATCTATATTCAATTCTCAAGTTAATATCTTTAAAGTATACATGTTATACATGACTGAGCTATGATTATATTGAACTCTCTACCTTTAGAACAAAGTAAATATATGTTTCACTTTCATTCTGAAATTTTTGGCCTAGTTGTGGCCAAAGCATTTGGGAGAACATGAAACTATCAACTCATTAGAAGGAGCCTTGAAAAACTATGAAGCCAATAATAGACTGATATGGAAACGTAATCTCACACTTTCAAGACTCTGGAGGTAAAACCTTGCAAGCTTTGATTTAAAGTGAGGAGATTTACAAATGGAAGCTGCTATCTTGTAGGCCATTCTCCCAAACTGGATTTTATAGAAACGATGCCGAGTCCTACCTTACTCCTTGGCCTTAGTTTACACTCAACTTTCACCTGACATTTACCACATGGGACAATGGTTGCTTGTGGGTTTGTCCCCTTGTACCGCCACGAAACAGTGAGAATTTTTTTTTTAAATAAGTGCCGTGGTTAAAAATGGTAGCACTAAGCTCAGGGACTCTGGACTGGATGGCTGGGGAACCTGCAAGGAACTGAACTAGGCCCTCTGAATGTGGATGACAGTTTGTGACTTGGTCTGTTTGTGGGGGCCCTGCGCAGTAGGACCAGGATTTATCCCTGGTGCATGAACTGGCTTTTTGGAGCCCATCCCCTGTGGTGGGATACCTTGCTCAGCCTTGATGCAGTGGGGAGGGGCTTGGTCCTGCCTCAACTTGATGTGCCAGACTTTGTTCACTCCCCATGGGAGGCCTTACCCTCTCTGAGGAGTGGATGGGGAGGTGGGGGTGGGATTGAGGGAAGTGCGGGGAGCAAGAGGAGGGGAGGGAGGGGAAACTGTGGTTGGTATGTAAAATGAAAAAAAAAAATTAAATTAAAAAAATGGTAGCACTATTTGGCTCCTAGAAAATGCTATAGAATGCTATGGATTCCTTTAAATTCTTGAAACTCAGTTACACGTCAGCCAGGTAGGAATATGCAAAGACAGGTGAACAGGGGGATTTAAAACATAAGCTGTGTCACTTGATAGAAGATTACATTACAGCTTCTGCCCATGAGTTTTGGTGTGTGTGTGATGTGTGCATTTAAATGTGACATGAATAACCAGAAAGTATTATGAGGATTTGTGATTAATGTAAAAATTACCTTCAACGTGTTTCAAAATACCAGTTCGAACATTTATTTGTATCTGCATATCAAAAGCATTATAAAGGCGTCATTTCAACTCTCTTGCCAAATTAAAATAAGAGATGAGAATCCAGCATTAAGACTTGAGAGAGCTGTTCTTGGGAATCCCTATTGTAACAATTAGATCCTCACTTTATGGATGGTAAAACACTCCCACGCAGACCTGAGTCCTTGAACTGTATCTTATCAGCGAGTTGCTAGAAACAGGCGTTTCCATAGTAATGCTGACTGTGTGCCAGAACTTTGTTTTTAAAATTGTTATTGTGACAGCTGCCAATTTTTAACCATAAATACACTGTTCATTTTACAGTTCTGGGGGTGGTGTGCAGGAAGGATAAGGTGCTGAAAGTTTAAAGGAGAAGACTTGGGAACTGTCCTTGAACAGCAAGGAGGGTATTCAGCCAGATGTCCCTTCTACAGAATAAAAGACTCAAGAACGAGAAGAAACGCCTTAGAGAGCTTGTGCACCTCTCCCTAGTGCAGTCCATAGTGGACAGCAGGCAGCAGAAAAGAATTGAACTTAAACTGTACCCACATCTTCATCAGGTGGGTCTGCTGCTCCCTAAAACACAGAGCTCTCCCTGGGAGTGTTGAGAACATCTAAGTGGAGAGGTTCCCCTTCCATACTCCAGTGAACTGTGTAAAAATGTAACTGGCAGCCTTCAAAGTCCTTCACTGGAATTTAAAGTTTTTCTCATTAACTTTCACCTCCTCTGTTTGGAATGAGGATTACCCAGGAGAAAAAATACAAGGTTGCAATGGGACAGTTTAGAGAGACAGGAGCTGGAAGGCACAAGCCTTCCCGTGGGTGTTCATGCCAGGCCCTGCAGATGGGTCTATCTTGGAGGCTGTATAGAAACACTGGAAATAAATGAGAAAAAAAGAACTGATCCAGCATAAAATTAAAATAACCTTACACATTCATTAGCCCTACCATGGTCTGTTTTCTCTTGTGGACTTTCGGGAAAAGAGCTCATGCTTGCTGGTTTGAGATCTGCTTGTAGAAAGGGACACAATTCTTCCTGAATTCAGCAAACCAAGATTGTGCATGAGCTCCCTGTGAGTGCAGGGCTGTCTAGAGTTGTTCCCTGCCTCTTTTCCGCTTCAAACGCCAGAATTTTAGGCAACATCTTAGAGCAGCTAGAAGTTGAAAGAACATGGCTTTCATATTTTGCTCTCTGGAAACAGGTGGTATGAGCAATATCATTGTTTGCCTTGGAACACGAGACCTTGTGAAAAAAAATTATCTCTCCTCTCCTACAAAAACCTAGTCCCAGCCTTCCAAACTCACTTAGTGTGCAGTATGTTTTACAAATTTATTAGCTGAAGATAATAGCTCACCATTTCTTCTGACCTTGTGTTGGGGACTTGCCAGATGTTCCCCACACAGAAACAGCTTTGAATCTCCCAATAAGCCAATGAGGACGGTGGGGCTATTTTGTCACCTTCTCAGGGAGGCCTTCCCAGGGGTCCCCCTCTTTACCTGCATTCGGCTTTAATTTTCTCAAGGGCACCTTACGGTGGCGTCTGCCCACTTTCCATGTTTCCTGCTCCCATGGGAACTCTGCTGAGGTAGAGAGGCTCTTTCTTGAGATGCTCTTGAGGTAGAGAGTCTCCTCTTCCTTGTTCCCTTCTGTCTCCTCAGCAGCTGGAGCCAGATCTATCCCACAGACACACTCTGATGATGGCAATGTGTTGTAGAATATTATTTTAAGGTGTGTTACTTTTGTTTAGGTTGCATTTGTTTAACTCTGTGAAGCTGTGTTACTGTGCCTGTCTAAAACACCTGATGGTCTAATAAAGAGCTGAACAGACAATAGCAAGACAGGAGAAAGGGTAGGCGGGGCTGGCAGGCAGAGAGAATAAATAGAAGGAGGAATCTGGAAGGAAAAGAGGCAAGATTAAGGAATGTGAAAGAGAGGAGGACTTCAGCGGCCAACCAGCCAGCCACACAGTCAGCCAGCCACACAGTCAGCCAGCCACACAGTCAGCCAGCCACACAGCCAGCCAGCCACACAGCCAGCCACGGGGTAAGAGTAAAAGTAAGATATTCAGAAGTTAGAAAAGGAAAAAGCCCAGAGGCAAAAGGTAGAAGGGAGAATTTAGGTTAAGAAAAGCTGGCAAGAAACAAGCCAAGTTAAGGCCAGGCATTTATGATTAAGAATAAGCCTCCATGTGTGATTTATTTGGGAGCTGGGTGGCAGGCTCCCCAAATAAGCAAAAACAACCAACAGCAGCCATGTGACAGGAGGGAACGAAGTACTTGTCCAGCAGCACATCATGAGCTGCTGACTTCCCAAACATTGAACTCTTTCCTCTTGAGAGTTAAATCTAACCAAAACCTCAGCAAGTGCCCCACAGAGGAAGGAGATGGTTTGCTCTGTGACTCCTAATGAAGAAGAGCAGTAGTTAATCCCTGGGGTACTGGTGTCAGTGGAGTGTCAGAAAAGGAAGGAGATGACAGAGATGTAAGCTGCCAAGAGGACCCGAAGAGAGTTGTCTTTGTGAACACACAAGCTTTCCATTTACTTTTATTTTTCCTGCCCCTCACATCCCAGGTGACACTCATGGGAACTCCTATTGAAGATTAAAATGAAAGGATGTGAATTTCTCTTTGCAACTCCATTAGGTGATCTATCAAGCCATTACCTTGGCCCGTGTTGGTCTCAGAAAAGCTTCCTGTCCTGTTGGCTCTTCTCTACACTCCCTTTTAGAAACCAGTGTGTGGTGGTATTGTGTCCCTCAAAATATTGTGCACCCTAATAAACTTATCTGGGGTCAGAAACAGAACAGCCACAATATTAAACACAGAGGATAGGCAGTGGTAGCACATGCCTTTAATCCCAGCACTTGGGAGGCAGAGCTAGGCAGAAATCCATGTGTTCAAGGATATAGCCAAGCATGGTGACTCACGGCTTTAATCCCAGAAAGCGAGCCTTTAATCCCAGGGAGTGATGGTAGAAGGCAGAAAGATATATAAGGCATGAGGACCGGGAACTAGAAGCATTTGTCTAGTTAAGCATTTGGCCTGGTTAAGCATTCAGGCTTTTGAGCAGCAGTTCAGCTGAGACCCATTCTGGATGAAGACTCAGAGGCCTCCAGTCTGAGGAAACAAGACCAGCTGAGAATCTGGCAAGGTGAGGTAGCTGTGGCTTGTTCTGGTTCTCTGATCTTCCAGTTTACCCCAATACCTGGCTCAGGTTTGATTTTATTAATAAGAATTTTTAAGATTCATGCTACACCAGTGTTTGCTGACTAATGGTTCAGAGTGTGTGGATGACATAGCATATGAGCTGCTAACACTTAGAGGTCTCCATGCTGATTCCTTCTCTGCAGCACTCGGTGGTTAGACCCACCCACAGTCAAGTCCCCTGCCACTCCATTCTTCTTAATGCCCATAGACAGAAACCTGGCTTAGGCAATGCTCTCTTTAACCTGGTTGAGTAATTTAGTCTTCAGCCACTTTCTCCTCCACTCGAACTGATAACCATATAGCCCCAAAGAAAGAAAAAAGAAAACAAAACACGACAAAACAAAAGACAAAACCAGACCTTACCAGACTTGGATGCCTGTGGGAATTACATCCCATCACACCTTATCATAGCAAATCTAAATTGCTAATTTGAAAGCCTAATTTCTCCATTCATGAGTCCCTGTTATCTTTGGGGGGGGGGTTCCTGTCCAAGGCTATAGCCTAGCTAGTGCCCTCCTTCACAGCAAAGCATCTCTCTTTACCTGTCACTTCAGAAGCAGAGATGTCTGCTCCCGCCATTACCACTTTATCAGAAAGTCACAGTACGATTTCAATCGGCCCTCTCCTTTTAGAACACTACTCATTGTTTATACTGCTCATTATGAGTTAGGCAAAACTCTACCCCTCCCCCAACAACTGCAAGGAAAGAATATCTGTTTACTCTGGAACTTTCCAATAACACAAAATGCAGAGCTTTGCACAAAGTGGTTGATCAATCACTATTGACTCACACACTTGTAACGCTCATCTCTCTGTTCAATACAGTCCTACATTATTTTCACGTGCGAGAAGAGTTCTATGGAGTTCAGAATGTTTAATGGTGGGGGTCACCCACTCATCTAGGCATGCATTCATTCAGTGTCTTACATTTTTACTCACTGTCTCATATGTTGCAGAGATTATATAAGATGTTAGGGGCATAGAACTAAGTTGTAACCATGGTCAAAAAGGCATTGTCACTATTCAATAGCAGTCAGTGTATGCGTGCAGTCCATGAGCAGTCACTGTTCTGCATGACAAATGTTGGTCTGGAGGGAGGTATAAAGGAAAGAGAGGAGGAAGGCTGGACTGGTGGAGCTGCTTTGTTTTCTCAAATGCAGTTGCTGGGAGAATGAGGTAAAGCATTTGAAGCAGAGAGAATCATGCTCTGTTCCTTTAAGGAGAACTGAAGCATGGGTACAGTGCTGGGACGTTTCTTCCTTGTCTGTGAAACTGTGCTGAAGTTAGACAAATCCCTCTGCAGAGTCACAAATTCAGAAGTGGAGCAGAGGGGCACCTTATTTGCTAGACAGGCATTTACCCACCCTAGGCATAGAACATCTTATAGACATCGTAGACAGCTCTATTTCCTCTTCCTTAGTGAGGTGGAGGGTAATTTCATGTATATTTTCTGCTTGTCCTTTCCTAGTCTATATGATCTGTACCAAGTTCATTACTCCTGTTGGTGTGTATGTGTGTGTGTGAGCACACACACACACACACACACACACACACACATGCACGACAAGCAATCTTCTCTAAAAACTGATTTTCTTCATAAATTACTTCTGCCATAGTATGTAAATTTTAGAATGTGATCAGTAACTGTACCAATTTATTTTATGTATACGCTCAAGAGCAAGGATATACAAACTCTTTGAAGTTAACTAATACTGAAGAGCATGACAAGGGAGGTTAAGTTCAATTGTAGCCTGGATTATGGGGGGGAGGAGACTAATTAAAGCCATTATTAGGACAGCTGTAGAAATCAAAATATGAAGAATATATGAAAATTTAAATTTCTTGGGTGTGATACCAGCATAGCTGAAGAAGGAATTTGTTTTTCATAGTAGACACTTGGTGAAATTCTAGGTAAAAAAGTGTGAAGCCTGCAACCCACAATGACTTGGAAAAATGCATGCATGCAGAGCAAGTCAAATAAAAGTAGCAAAGTCTCAAAACTTTGGCAAATCTCTGTGAAAGCCAATTTGTCCCTGCCATCCACTTCCTTCTGATATCCTTTAGGCTCCCTTTCTGCACACCCCCCCAATGGAAACGTAATGTTTTAAAATTTAATTTTAAAATGGAGATTGTTCCTCCAACTTCAGCTCTGGTTTCTTCTGTTGCCCCCTCCTTGGCTGTTCTAGACCTTGCTTGACTATCCTCCCCTCTGTGCTTTCGTTACACAACACATCTTATTCCTACGGATGGTCAATCTTCTTCCGGGCAGGCAGGTATGGATCACATCCCGCGTTAGTTGCCATCTTATTCTAAAACCTATACCTTGTTCTTTTCTCATGCTTCTTTCTCTCAACTTTCTTCAGAAGGCTGAAAGCTGCTGTTAATTCTTTTTTTTTTTACATTATGCAGAAGGAGAAGAAGAAGAAGAAGAAGAAGAAGAAGAAGAAGAAGAAGAAGAAGAAGAAGAAGAAGAAGAAGAAAGAGCCCCAATCTCTGGCATCCTTGTGGCTTATCACATATTCCTTCCGCAAAGGTAATCTAGTCTGTGTCATTGTATTTATTGCCCCCAAATCAAAACCAGTTGCCAAAGTAATGAAGGTCTATTGGTTTGTGTTGACTTAATCCATGTCAGAGGAGCTGTAGGAGCATATAAGGATAATTTGACCAGTAAAAGGAAAGTCATAAAAATGATCAAAAAGCCAATAGATACGCTGAGAACACCGAGCTTATTTTACTGAGGATTTATGGCCAACTTATCAGAAAATTATTTGGTCCAAGTCTACATTCAAATAAGTCACTCAGTAATTCAGCAAAGATTCCAACCCCTAGGAAAAAAGCCTCCTCTAATGAGATAGCCCGGTAACCCCTAACTTGCAGCACATGTAGTTTAATTTTCAACAGTTGTGAGACCGCAGTAAATTCAGCTTTTGAATCACTAGTCCCGCTTATACTCAGACCTGCATTAAATTACCGGAACGTGGACAGCATTGGAGTACAGCCAGCTGCATTGTCTCCTTGACATATCTTTCTAAGTGTTTATTAATCAAATTGAACCTAAATATGGGACACACCCCAGATGGTAGCAAGTGCCAATTCCTGTGTGTCCCCTCCTAGAATAAGTGGACGTCAAATAGTCAGAATCGGCCACATCACGTCAGTTTTGCCCCAGGCCCAGCTCTAGAGGTTGTATTTTATTGACCAGAATCAAATTGGCTTCCCCTGGTGTAGGTGATAAAGTATGGCGTCAAGTCACCCATGTAAAATGTATAACTTTAACTTTGACAGCCTGTCATTGAAGTCCTTGTTTATATAATCTATTGTGCCATTTAGTCTATTCTTATTTTAAAGAGCAGACGTAGAACTAAAATCCATTCTGCTAGTGTTTCATTGATGGATGTCTCTACATTGTGCCTTCTCTTAAATAATCTTGGGAGTGGCTATTTCCATTGCCACTGTCGACTTCCGTCAAATTGTAAGACTTCCAGTTTTAAACTCTGCCTTGTGGATGATGAAGGATGTGCTCGATGCTATAATGGGAAGCTTTTCACAGCATAGACATTGCTCTTCCAAGTTCAAGACTCGTTACATCTACACGGAAGAAACTATTCTGCTGAGAGGTGGAGTGGGCCTGCGTGCGTTTCCAGCCAGCAAAGGTAGAAATCTTCATATCGTGAGGACTTCTTCAAATTGTATTTAGTTTCAGAAAGACTAAAGACTCCTTCCCAAAGTTGGGATTTTCAAGTTGGTACAAGTCTAAAACTAGCAGAATTGAAAAAAAAAATATGTTTGACTTTACTAACAGTTTACCTCGATGTCCAAATGAACAACTGGAGAAAATAAACTGTTTACATTAGGACTGAGGAATCTAAAGCATTTCTTCTTGGAAAGGATCAAAGGCAAAATCTAACAGCACTTCCTACGAGCTTAAAAATATTGCCAAATTAAAACTGGTCTTTATCTGTAAATTTAAAACAGAATATAATAGCCTATCATAAAATTAGATCCAATAATGTAGCTGAAATTATTATCTGACATTTCTGGGTCTCTAGGTCTATGCGATATGTACAGCAATTAGGATACTCAAAATATCTCCATCACTTTTGAAATAGTATCTCTGAGACTTGGTCAGTAAAAGACAGGACAAAGAAGACCCCTGCTCCTTGGTGACAATGTGTCAAGGACAAATCCCAAGGAGACACCTCTTCACTGCTGATTAATTTTCAAGGGCTGCTTGAATAAAATGAAGATCAGAGCCCCTATTTCCTCCTTGGCTGAGATCTACTTAAGGGATTAAATAATGCACCTAAGCCCTTCATCGTCTGTTGCTTATACAGTTTGCTAAAATAGTCTCAAAACATCAGGTTTTCTTTCTGGATAAGTTTATTGCTAAGGGCATTTTCTCCCATCTGTGGCATGCCAACATTTAGTCCATCCCCCTGTCCCCCGCTTTTTCCCAGAATTTTGAAGTAATTGTTAAAAAAATTCTTTTCTGATGTTAAATAATCTGAAATTTGGAGAGGGTTGTATTCTTAATTCCCCCACAGGGACTTAGAATCAATTCATGCTCTGAAAAATTCCCGTAGCTTGGATCACACCCGTTCACCCCTTTAGAAAGTGTCTCCCTTGGGTCTGTAACTTTCTATTCAGTACCATTTAGATTGTGCATCTCAGGGATGTGGCTGGGCTAGAAACCCCGGGAAGAAATCCGTGATTAGTCACCGGGTTTGAAAAATCCTTCCCAGTCCTGTTTACCAGGACACATGCCAATTCTCCAAACGTGCTGGGAGCTCGCGTTCTTTTCAGGGTCGCTCTGCCTGCACAGCACAGATTAAACACACAGCCTTGGTATTTTCAGTGTTGTGAGGAGACACATTTACATTCCACTGACAGCGCAGGGTGTAAAAGGAAGCCATCTGCTGTGATTTAACAACAGGGGGATAGCTGCAACTTCCACAGGAGAAAAATGAGTCACAGAAGAGCTCAGCTCAAGTCCCCTTCTTTGTGTGGTCAACCTGAGCAGATAACATTGTGATGTAAAAGGTAGTTTTTATTCTTCAGTGGATTTTAGTAGCTGGTCCTCTGTCACTCAGTTTCATTATCCACGTTTACTAATATTTGTCTGCTACTATTTTAAGGGTCATTTTGTTAGTTTCAGGAGCCTAGAATAGTTAGTTATTTTTACTCTAAAAATGACAGCTCCATCTTTGGTTACCTGTGCATTTGGTCCAGATGATTCATCTTTCCAACATACAGCTCCTTTCTGACAATGGAATTGTCAAGTACTTCAGAAGGTGGATAAGGAAAAAAGGGGGAAATTAATTGCACACTAAGGATTTAATATATTCTGGCATTTTGCGTGACATCTCATTTAAATTTTCACAATTTAATAATATACAGATTGTTTATAAGGTGATTTAAACAGTCTATCCAGAGTCACACAGCTGGCAATCTGAAAATTTTCTTCTTCAAATTACAGAGCGTGTTCAATCCCACGCAGATGCATCCTTTATGGGAAACAAAGTCAACGCAACCCAAATCTACCCTGTAATTTCAGTTGTTCACAGTGCTTGGCATATTTACATGGTGGTGGCATGGTTGTTTCATATTTCAAGTTTCTTCTTATGTGGAGTACTTTCAGAGTTGGTCAGGCTTCTTGGCTTGTCGATTTTTACTTAATTCTTTTAGGGATTTACATGTGAGAACAAGCTTCAGTGAGAACAGGCTGGTGGGTGGGAGGGTTTTGTTTATGAGTTCTAGGAAGGTGCCTAGTGCCTAGTTGATGGCTGAGAAGTGAGGTGTTCACAGTGTGTGTGTGTGTGTGTGTGTGTGTGTGTGTGTGTGTGTGTGTGTGTGTGTGTATTTGCCAAAGCTGAAATATTCCGCAGCAGGATAAAGAAAGGGACCGATAATTCACAACTTTCAGTTCCATGCTTTTAACACCCAGCATGTCTATCAAAAAACAAACAGCTACACAATGCAGAAAAGCTCCTAGGGTGGCTGCTGGTAGACAACAGCCATGTGCTACACCCCAGTCTTAACCGAGCAGAGCAGGCAGCGATTAAGAAGGTAGCTATTTCAGTGTTTCACAGTGTCAGGAAACAAAGTATCAAGCCATCAGCTCCCTTTTTAGGTGCAGCACTTCGATTGCAGCCATATATTGCTTCCAACTGTAAATAATAACCGGGAAGCATGGAAAGAGATCTTCAATGGCTATGGCTGCCTGAGCTCAGCATATTACATGCCACTCTGGCACTATTTGCTGAGCTGCAGATAATTGTATGTCTTGTTAACAAGTTTCTGTGTATTTTCACTCCATCAGCAGGTTCCTGAATCAATGCCGATAGTAGGTTTGACTAACATCAGCATAATCTGACTTTGATGGAAAGTTTGAAATTTATGCATAATTAAAAATTATATGTCCATTTCCTAATTTCCCATGAAAGGTAATTAATCCTCTTGGATGTCATAGTATTTAAATCTGGTTCCTCAAAACACATGGTTTCTTTGCCTCTGACTGACTACAGTGCTTAAAACTATGGTTTTAGGACAAAGAGGTACATTTAGGGAAAACCAAGAGTGCCTTTGACACTTGACCCATTGTGGAAAAGATTTAAGGTTTCCAAGATCATGGGAGAAAGGCAACACTTTTATATTCCCTTTGAGACACTACTGAGTTTCAAAACCATTATATAGTAGTTCCCATTTTCTTATAACTGGAATGTTAAAAGAGAGACTGAATTATTATTTATGGGGAAACACATACATTTCATTATATGTAAAGTATAGAAGTCTTATTATTTATATCATATGCAAAGTATATGAGTGTTATTGAGCATGTAAAGTCTAGAAGTGTTATTATTCATCAAATATATAAAGTATGTAAAAATGGTGACTTGATTTGATAAGGATGTGGGCACAGAGCTTGCTACAATACACTTAAACAGCCTCATTGCAATAGCACATGGCTGCCATGGAAAGATTTTTTTAAAAAAAAGTTATTCTATATTCAATCAAGGAAGACAGTATCAGACGTGTAAAACATGTTAAGGGTCTAACTGTTTTATTCATGAGAAAACACTTAAATTCTACCCTCTCCTGGGCTTCTTGTCACAGAACACTCTCGACTTAATATATTTTCAAGATCCATAGGCAGCTTTGTTTGGAAAGCTGTAGCAAGCAACACACTCTTAAACTTTTATTTTCTTCAGCACTCAGGCTGGCCTTGAACTCTTGACCCTCCCATACTCAGCCCCTGAAAGCTGATGTTGTAGACATGCTCCATGCTTGACTAGCCTGGTTTGTTTTAGCTCTTTCTGTTCATGTCACTTTGCAGTTATGCTCCTCGTGCTGCTTTGCGGTCACTCAGATGCTTTGAACTGAACGTACAAACGGGATGGCTTTGCAAACCTAAGTGGCTCTTCCCAGCATCAACAAGGAGCAGCTCCTGATACACCAGGAGAGGCTCTCTGTGCTTGCCAGATAGAGGAGAGGGCTGGTCTGGTGGTTTTTGTGCAGGACTCCATCTGGCGCTAC